TACATTATCTTATCTATCTATCTACCTACCTACTTACCTAGCTATCAAGCTAACAATACCTGATAATCCCCCGTCGTAAAGAAAATGGCAGGGTTAGGGGACTTACAGTGGCAAGTCAAGTGAAAACCCTCAACTGACCGCAATCTACCTGAACATAACCTTTCCAAAACCTTTTTTTTCCCTGGAACAAAAACACGAAATCCCGAAAAAAACGAATCTAAACCACCCCTGTTCGTGAACCCGCTGGGCAGGATTCACAAGGAGAATCTGTGAAAAAAGACTGAATCCTGGGGTCCAGAAAAAATGAATCCAGATAGAATCAATCCTGGACCCGGAATCATTCTTTCTGGGCCCCAGGATTCATTTTTTTCTGGACACCAGGATGCACTCTTTTTGGGCCACCGGAGAATCTGCAAAAAAAGATTGAATCGTGGGTCCAGGAAAGAGTGAATCCTGGGGTCCAGAAAGAGTGAATCCTGGACCCGGATTCATTCTTTCTGGACCCCAGATTCCGTCTTTCTGGGCCACAGGATTCACTCTTTTCTGGATCCCAGGATTTATTCTTTTACAAGGAGAATGCATGAAGCGATCAGGATTGACACACGCCAAACATAAACAAACGCTGTTAAGGCACTTGCTCGGCATCTCTTAGCTGCTCAACACAATGGACAGGGTCTTGAGCAAAGGCCAAGCCATGCGTGTCAACGGGTGATATGTGGCAAGGACCGGTGAACAGAATCTTGGAAGTGATACTTGCAATGTTCTTTCAAGGCAAGCCAACAGCAAGGAAGATATGTGTTCCAGCCCACCGGAATGATGCCCTCCATCATTGTATCTTCATGCACATTTGGTATATGTTCCGCGCTGTCCATTTCACACTTGAAATGTTTTGTTTTTTTCAAACTGCTCTATAAACAGCAAAAAGTTATTTACCCATGAACTGAAGAATTCGCTGGCAATTCTCCTTGTTTTCCCACGCTTGCAGAATGTTTTCGCACGTTGCGTTTGGGATTGACAAGCAGCCCGCGAGCTCTTGATGCAACAACATGGGGGCCGAATGGCGAATCGGGAACAGTGGGGAGCGGTGTAGGCCACAAGTCAGGAGAGAATCGTGTTCTGAACATCGGCGGAGCGAGTCGGAAGCAAAGCGAGCGTGTCCGCCATGCGGCGGGAAGGGGAGAGAAACCGCCCAGAAGGCAGCGGGTGCAACCCCGAGAGACACAGAATTTTCTTGCGGGGCTTCATGCAGCGGCCAAGTTTTCAAGGCCGACGTACAATTGTTTCAATGAAGCAGGTGGGTGGAGCCTGATGTCCATGCACATCTGTGAACACGACAATCTGCCCGGGGCTCTGATGTTCCGGCACGCCGGAGTGGCAAAGACCCCCGTCGCCCCCCTTTTCTCGCAGAACAGTACAGTCCGTACTCAGCCGAAGCGGCGTCTCATTGCAGCCGCCAGTGTCAACTTCGATGCCCACGCTGGAAACTCCTTACAAACTAGTGGCCCTGCGCGGTGCGACTCACTCCCTCGGCAGCTGGAACAGGAGCATGAGGAGAGGAACCACCACAGCCTGCAAGCGCTTCGGTCGCCGACCCGGGGATGATGCAGCTTCTAGCAGGAATGATTGTGCCTGTAGCCACGGCATACCCGATGCGGCATTGGGCTGCCCTGATCGCATTTTGCAACTCGTCGAGGCCCTTGCGTATGACAGTGTCTCTGCGTTGGAAATCGCTGAAAGACGCTGGTTCGTTAGGCATCGGATGATAAGTCAGCGACGGGTCGCCCTCGCACATGCCTTCTGCGTTGCAAAGGCACGCCTGGTGTGGCCCCAGCGTTGGGCAACGCACTTCGAAATCGGCGGGAAAGCTAGGATCCGTGCGAAAGGATAGTCCTGTGGCATACACAAGCCAAACGACGGGGCTCCAACGCTTCGAAGCAAGTCCTCGTCTGACATCCCGGTGGTGCCCATGGCCAAGTCCATGGCCTCACTGCGCGGAGGTAAGCTCTTTTGCGTTTGGTACGACGAGTGGCTTAGTGGCTTAGCGAGAGCTAACTTCGACGTGCACCTCAGTTTTATGCGACCAGTTCAGCCTTCAGCAATGACGCTGCAACTCCAAGTCTTCAAGGCACCAGCCCGGTACGCAAGGTCCGCCGCATTGATTGGAATCGCTTCTGCCTCCATGCAGATTTACGGCTCAAACCCTTACAGTGTTCGTCTTCGTCATGCTGCCTGTCATACATACATACATACATACATACATACATACATACATACATACATACATATGCATGTACACACACATTTTTCGTACACGCACATTAGACATTTATACATGTAAAGTCTTCGTGTGCGTGTGTA